TATGCTATACATGATTTCCAAAATGTATGGATATATAATGTGGTCTTTGCTTTTATCATTTTTCTATGTGGGATAAACTTAAATTAGTTTTCCCTTCCAACACATTTAACCTCTTCCAATTCATCATTTTGAACTTCAATTTTTTATTCTTCCGAACATCATTTTTAACAAGTAAATATATGATTTCGATATTTTCACGTAAGAGAACACAAACCGACTTTGACCTGCTGAAAAGAACGAACGAATACCACTCGAAATCATGTCAAAAGTAGCTCACTAAACCATTAATTCCAACAAATATATGAAAGGTGTACACATAATTTTTAAGCTTATCTTATGGTGAAGTTGCTTTTTTTTTTTTTTCTTCCTTTCCGTAAATATAACAATTTAACCAAAAAAATAGTAATCTTGAAACCTAGAATTTCTCCTATTAGATAGGTAGGCAGCCACCGTCCATTTTAACTGTCATTTCAGTGCAAAGTGGGAATCACAGACCTAAGCAAAAGCTGGCAGAACCATATGCTCTCTTTCCATGACCTCTGGTCTTGTTTTTTCCCTTAATAGTTTTATTTCTATAAATATTAGCCTATGGATATAGACATCGACTATAGAGACGAGCTAGTATGCAGCACCAACTATAGAGACGACCTAACTCGCAATATTATTTTTTTGAACGACGGCTGTGTCTACCGCACGAACTATAGAGACGAACTAACTAATAACATAATAACGTTTTTAAATGGCGACTCAGTCTGCATATCACCTATAGATACGAGATAACTCATAACATAATTCAAATGGCGGCCTAATCCGCAATTCCGACTGTAACGACGAAATAACTCGAAACATAACCTACAATAAGTCGCAACACCTAGACCGCACATATATCGAACAACTCATTTAGGTAATCACGTACAAGGGCGGATTTGGTGTTGGGCCCAGACCCAATTCATTTTTTTGCTTCAGTAAAAAAATGTTTTTATAATGTAACATCCAATATAAAAAATAAATAAATTAGTCAAACGTTGACTTCGTCTTTGACCACATAGGAAAATATGATAGATTACTTATTATAAACTTGTTAATGATAATATTTCAAATTTCACAATTGTCATCACCAACCACGTGCCAAGAGCCAAGTATAGGTCACACAACAAATTAAAATGTAACAAAAATAAAAAAATAATAATATATATTTATGGACTATACTATAGTACACGATCCCTTTTATGAAAAAATCCCCACTCAATTTTTATTTATTTTTATTCTTATCCTTATTGGTAATGCATCAAATTCTTGCTAATAGCCTAGGTTAGAATCCAATGACCTCACTAATCAAAAACTTTTGACTTAATTCGTACGACAATTAATATAGTAATAATTAAAATAATAATAATAAAATCAGCCCACTAAGTAGATACTTACATGTAATAATGATTTAATCACATTAATGCATAATTATTTATTTAATTAGTAATCAAATATATAATAATAAACTTGCTAGAGTCATATCCGAATGTTCATCCTTTGACACACACTATTTTTTTTATTTGGCTAATTTTTTATATATTTATGTAATTAGAAGCTCGTCGATCCAATAGTCGAGTGAGTTGACTTCCGAAGAGAGAATATGTTCCTTTTTATATCACAAATCTCGAAAATGTACGTTTTATGCTTAATGTTTTTGTAAAGCTAAAATTCTGGAATGGATTAGAATATTAGGGTGAAATTAGTTTTTCTTAATTAAAACTCAAATTTCTTGTTTCTCGATTCTTATTGCTCGTTTAATAAGGTTTTTGAAAAGTCGAAAATTGATCTTGAAACTAATAATCCACTTTTAAACGTATTTGAATGATTTTATGAAAGTATTTTTTTCATGTAAGAAGAGCTTTCTTAATAGCCATCTTCCTCTAAAATCTTCTATAAGAAGCAGAAGTTTTGCCAAACACACCCTTATTCATCCAAAATTTACATTATTACGTGGGAACCGAAACTTGATGAGAATACACGTACGATATGTGTATTCCCGAGTATCAATGTCACAAACTTTTGGTACTAATTTATTTCGATGAATTAAGCTCCTTTGCCAAAAGAAACTTACCCACCCGGTTGACCTACTCTCACATTCGACTGGGACCCATGCCGACCTCACATGAATAAAAAAAAATGCAAAAACATACCCCCACCCATCCCTATTGTGTGTGTATGTCACCTAGGGTGTCAAAAAAATTCTGGCACCCTAGCATCGTCCTAATTCGATACGTCTCCGCTTGTACTTCTTCCCAATAGACATAAACACAAACCATCAGATTTTTGGAACTTCCTCTAAATATATAAACAGAGAGAGAGAGAGAGAGAGAGAGACGCAGACTGAGAGAGTATGGGAAGAACGGTCCCAATAAAAGACGTGATTCCATGCACTATTTCCATATATACATAATTTCACTATTGATCCCCAATTTATTTTATCAATAATAAATTGGTCCTTGACTTTAAAAAGAGCACATTAATCACTAAGGGTCTGTTCTATTTACTTGATTAAGCCATTTTCAGTTTTCGAAAACATTGAAAACATGTTTACTTATCTATTTTCAAAAACGAATCTCCAAAAACGAGTTTAAAATTTACAAAGAAAACAAAAATGCCAAAAAAGTCGTTTTGACCGTTTTCAATGATAGACACCCTCCAAATACTTTTTTTCTTAATTTTTGAAAACAATTTTTCAAAATGACAAAAAGAATGTGTTTTCAACAATCTCAAAATACAAAACTCAAAACTAAAAATTGAAACACGAAGAGAACATCTCCTAACATTTTCGTTATAATTGTATCGCTTTTCAATGATAGACACCCTCCAAATACTATTTACATCTCAACGTAGCTCTCGCATTTTCGACTTTATAAAACTAGTTTTTGCTTCTTAACTTGGATTATATTCAAAAGTTTAACGTGATACATACTTTTATGAAAATCCCATTACATTTAATAAAGAATTAGACAAAATACCGACTCATCGTACTACAAAGAAAAGTCGAGAGCTAATAGGTTGCTTCTTATACTAAATAGACTTTGTGGTGATACTTATGTCGAAATTGTTAGTGGCCTATGAAAGTGATTCCATTGCTTCTTCCTTGAGCCATTTTCATCCAATCATTCTCTTGTTTTGATTTACTTAATTGGAAACTTCTTTAGAAGAAATATTCTAGTGATGTTAGCCTTATCTTATTTGTCGTGACCCCTCACTTTCACCAATATTTTTTCTAGCAAAATATCACTTTCACCAATATTAAATTTAATAAATAAATATATATATTATTTTTTAACCTAACTAAGTGTATTCAATAATCAATCACAACATGCAAAAATTTTAAGGTCAAACTTCATCTCATCTCATTTATGAAACTATATGCACGTCAAACTTCTGATAAAAAATAAATTTAACTGCTCTCGAACACTGAACAACTTGAACTTTTAAATAAGATGGTCGAATGCTAGTGAACTAGGCGAAAGAATATTGGATAGATTTGGGCACCATGTATATTCATAAGGGAATTTTTCACTATTGGTCCCTAATCTATTGCTCCAGTAATAAGTTGGTAACCGATCTTTAAAAGAAGCAAAATAATTCTCAACCTTTCATTATGGTTACACAACATTATTCACGGGCAAAAGTCATTGAAATCTCTACTAAGTTATCTATTGATGCTCTCATGTTTATCTTAATGGAAACTATATTTTATTTTTCTAAACTTAAACTTAGGGGTGGGCACAAGTCGAGTTGGGTCCAAACTCGATAGTCAAACCAACAATTCATGTTGGTTGAAATCCCAATTTGAAATCGAACCTACAAATATAAATAAATCGACTCAAATCAAAAAGATGAATAAGCCGACTTGAGTCAATTTGGTCGGTTTGTTTTGTGAGGTTAAAATAGATTTCAATATTTTTAAATTCGACCTCTCAGATCGAAATTTTTAGGTTGGTACAAGCTAACCCAAAAAACAAACCAATATCCCTCCGAACCAACTCAAGTCAGTTTGATTTGACCTTTTGGTCAATGTAATTGGTCCATCCCTACTTTAATTGGTGATGTAATATCCATGGAGGAATGCTCCCTTGGGACTAGAAGTATAAAGCGTACACGGATCCTGGTCAATTTGGGCATATCCCGCAGTTAACCTCCACCCATCACTGAGGGGCCGGAGATTGGTGGTCCAGGACATAGTCTAGTATAAGTTGGAATACCTGGATATAAAAAAAAAAGATTAGAATAGTTACGTCACTAAAAAAAATAATGATTATGCAACTAATAAAACGTTGAGAATTTAATTATTCTTTATAAATTTTAAGAATCAACTTGCTACTAAGATAACACATTAAAAACAATCATACAATTTTCCCAATACAGTTGGATGAGAGAACTGTGAAAATGAGTTTCATCTTTATCAACAGGGAAGGAAAATAATAATAATAATAAATAGGAAACAAGTGAAAAGGGTCTTTTCATGGTGGAGAATAAGAAGGGTCCCACTCCCATGGACACAATTCCTACAGGCCTTTTGGACTACTACATATACTCCCAACACTCCCACTCTTTTCATTTGTAACAAACATCCAAATTCACAGCCTCACCGTTAAATCCTCCAACATCGCCTTCATATATCATCGATTCCTCCATTAGCTTGCAACTGTCATCCACCTCCATTGGATGCTCTTGTTTGCTTCAGATAAACAAAATATTTCTTTGTTGAGATTTTGTTCGCTAGTCTTTTTCTTTTCAGACGAAATACTGTTTACATCTTCTCCGGTCGATCCTAAGAGTGTTGGACTGTGTGGAGTCTAATCATACTCTACACTTGTACTCATCTCGCCAATCACATTTCTGCATAAAGGAATTTCAGGCAGCGGGTCTTCTGAGTGCGTGAAAAGGTGTGAGATCAACTCGTACTCAAAAACCCAAGAAGGTGCAAAACCCAAGAAAGACATTTAAAGATTTAGGAGATGACATCAATAAAAGGCATCGAGAAACAAGGTATACTCACCATTCTTGATTCTGATATCAAGCCAACAGCCTCCTTAAGAAAAACACTTTCAGCTGATATGTCTTCAAAGAAATGGCTGTTACAAAATGGGTTTTTCTCCATGAAAAAGATTGCATCATCTGAAGAACTGGTGATCAAGTGTTCTGATTCATCTTCTTCATCAGAAAGTGAAGAAGAATGTGAAGAAAATTTGCCAGGGCAAGATGGAATTTGGAGGTCAATTCAATTACAGAAAGAGAAGAAGAATAATCAGATGGATCAAAATCCATCTGGATTAGATTGTTGGGGTTCAATTCTCTCTCAAAAGAACAATCAAGATTCATCCAAGAATTCTTCAACACCTTACGTTCATCCTCTTGCGAAAAGATCTTCCAGCAGTTTGAGTCAAAAAAGTCTTGAAATTTGTACTGAAAATCTTGGATCAGAAACTGGCTCAGATTGTTTTTCCTTGGACCCTCCTAAAACAGAAAATTACTGCCAAGAAAAAGTGTCCAAATCCTTCGGAGATTTTAATGCTGTCAAGTACAAGACAGTTTCCCCTCGGCCATTTCCCCCTCCAATTCCTTCTATTGGCGATGACAGTGGAAATTCACTTCGTATGCACTGCCAGCGCCAAAATGGGAGATTAATTCTTGAATCTGTGTCTGCTCCTTCAAGAAACTGCTTCCAGGCTTGCCGCCAGGATGGCCGCCTTATCCTCACTTTGATCCATCCACCAACTTTTCAGGAGGCAGCCGTGAAGGAGGAGGTGGCAGCACCGGCACCGGCAGAGGTGGAAGTGGAGGTGCAGTCTATGATTGAGCAGAATCCCAAACCAGCTGATGGGATAATAAGTGTGGATAAATCAGGATTGATGGTGAAGAAGTTCTTGGGACTAGGAAACAAGATGAATCCAACATGGTGTAACAAATTCAACAAAACTGTCAAGTTAATTGAGGTTGGGGAGGAGCTGCCACTTCCACCATTGCCACCACCAAGAGTAGCTCAGCTGATTTCCACACCACCACCACCGGCCGCTACCGCCTCGTTCAATGCCTACGAATACTTCTGGCGGAGCAAGACAAGCTTCATCACTACTACACAATACATTCCCATAAAAAGCAACCACAAGATTTCCCATTCCAATGGTGAAAAAAAACATGAACACCAAGATTTGGTGCTCATTTGCCCTTTGTTGAAGGGATGCAAAGAACAAAGGAAGTCTCTATTAATTTGGGAGCCAAACTGCATTGCCACCTCCTAATGATCAAATTTTCTTGAATCCCAACTTTTAATTTATCAACTATAAGTCCTTAATTTTAATTATTACTCTTTAAGTTTGTCACTCTTTCTTCTCTCGAAGAGATTTTCATAACCAAATAAACATGGAACCGATGCTTTAAATTGTTTTTAAAGAATGACTGTTTATGTAATTAGTTGTTGCAACGGCCTTAGTTTCTTGCCTATTTTTCTAGTGGAATGTGTTTTGATATCAATGTGATATCTATTTTATTACAGTTCGATACTTAAATGAACTGAGATTTTAAAAAGTTAAAAAACTAATGACATTTTTGATGTGCTAGATTCGATCACTAAAAGAAAAAAAATGTTCAATTTTATTTCGTTACAGTATACTTTTCATAGTACTTGCTAAACTTAAACAGACAAAATCTTAGGAATTAAACTACTTTGGACAGCATGCTTTACACCTTGATTTACACCCTGAATAGATGACAGATTTTTAATGATTGGATTAAAGTTGTTTTTGTCAAAGATGATTTGAGATATTGCCAAGCGTAAAAGATGTAAACCAATTTTTTAGAATGTTCATGTTGACCTTAAAGTTCTTGTCCAATTTTGGTCCGCAAACTTTCCAAATATCGCATTTAGACTCCAAAACTTGGGAATTTATCCAAACAACTATTCCAAAACTACCAATCACGTCCCCAACTGCTCAGTAGCTCTTCAATTCAACCATTCATGCTCCAATTAAGCTCCAAATCCCTTCCTTTCAGCTCAAATAACTTCCAATTCGGGAATTTTACCATTAAAAGCAATACATACACTAAATTAATAAGCGTGTAAAACAAACTTATTTACTTATAATTGATGTAAGGAATAATAATAAATCAAAATCAAAATGATATATGGGATTGATATAAAGCATACGGAAACCAACCAATATCTTAAATACCTTTGAAATTTGTAGATTGAAGGACGAGGAAGAAACCATACTTCAACATTGCCATAATGCCATTATATTCAAATCTAGACACGGTTTAAACACTCACTAACCTTGTATGTTGCCATAATGCTTCATATGGGTCATAACGCACTGTTCACAAAACAAATACACTCGCTCGGCCAATCATCGGAATGTGTACAAGATACCTTGTGTTTGACGCCCTTTCTGGGGAAATAATAAATTCTGAAATAGTGATTAATGAAAGAATATATTGTTAAAAAGTAATAAGAATTTTCGCGTAATATTATTTTATTGATTGAATGTTTGGTTGAAATGAAGAAAAAAAAAGAATGGATGTCAAACAGGGGCTAAATTTCTTGATTGTTGATAGCGCCTATTTTATCACTGTTTCCAGTTGGAGGGACAGTATAAAGGGCGGAAAAAGGGTGAGAATATGTTCATTTTCACAAGATTCAGGGCGTAATATGCATTCCTTCAGAAAGAATGTGACAGAAGGAATTTTTCTGTGTACTTTTGCAGGTCAAGGAGAGATTCAACCTCTGGTGTTCAAGACGGAAGATCCCAACAAACATTACGTTCAGACCAGTGAATAGATGCTGAGTAGCAGTTGTATAGTATCCCTATAAAGGCCTCTATTTATTTACCTCCACGTCTGTCAATAAAATGCTCAAAAACTGATTAACAGTCATTTGGGCACGAGGGAGCAGAAACAGCTTCTTATCTTCACACGAAGGTTTTTACATTGTACAAACACAAATTACACAGCAAAACCTGTATTATACACGAACAAAGATGATTATGATTCTATCTCACCAACCAACCTCAAGTCCTCTTACAACACAAATAATAATAATGCGCATAACAATAATACACCTACACAATGACGAAAAACAAAACAAGTCTACCCACTAAGAAGATATGATACTGACTTCTACCACTTGTGGATCATGTACAGCTTTTCAAAATCCTGAACTGCCTTCAGCACAACAAATGTAGTCTACAACTAGCCGCTTGCAACATGTTCAAACTCTTCATCTTTATCTTCTGAAGGCACTCCAGTGTGTGAAAGATACATGTGGGAATTCAAGGGCCTTCACATCTCTAAGATAAAATACCTTATTTATGCAGAATCCTCAACATGGAGTCATGCTATGTACAGATCACTGGAAATTTCCGAGTGTTAGCATAGCCTGGAAGTACGGGAAAGCAATCTGGGAGCAAAATCTAAATCCAAGCAAGAGAACCTCTATCATTAGTCACTTGAGGACGGCCCCTAGTCGGTGTAGGCGGTCTGTTAGCATTGAGCTCCTAGTTTCACAACAGAAACAAAGATATGACATCAGCAGGAGACGACAAGACGTGGATTGAAAGGAAAATTGAATCATTGGCCCAATCAATTGTCCCAATAGTAAGTTGGTCCCCTATGGCCCTATGTGATATGTTGCATTAAAGTTGCACAATAGGTCCCTGATAAAAAAATTAAAAAAGAAAGGAAAAAGGTCCAAATCTTTTAAATTGGTAAGTGGCCCTAATGGAAACATGCCTCACTTCCAATTTCTGGGCATCAGCCCTAGTTGAGAGGCAAAATTTAGCTTCATGAAGTTGGGAAGGTGGGGGACATCTGACAATTGTTCATAGATTTGGAAAGTTGATGTTAAGGGGAGTCATTATGCAACTATAATGAAAGGTTGGGGACCGACGGTGCAATTCCCCTTGATTGTGAACATGAACATATTGGAAACCAAAAGTAAAGTTAACCTGCATCCATGTGTCTTCTATTTGCCGTTCAGGAGAGGTCTCCAGAGATGAAATTGCAGGCGGCAGTGGATGAATTAGTTTTGGAACCACCACTAGATCTCTACCCAAAACTAAAATAGCTCCAGCATTATTAGCCGTACCTGAAGTTGAAAATAAAAATTCCAGAGAGGCCATATTCAAATCAAAAGGCAAGAATTGAATGGTTGAGAATCGTCTAACAATGAGTAAATAGTCAAATATCTCAGGACATACCACAGTAGTTGGTTGCTGAAAAGATAGTAATTAAATGCCCCTGAGCAAATCTTTCAAATCCATCCATCACACATTCATGAGCCCGAACAATCAATTGTAGATCATTGTTGTCACAAAATTCCATTACACGATCAGGCTGCAACGATGAACATCGCATAATGTTAAAATTGATAAGAGATACTAGCAATAAAATAAATAAATAAATAAATAATAATAATAAATCTCATTTCTTACGTACAAGCATCAAATAATGGACTAAACCATAATATAGTAGCACCTGAGATATTATAATCTTGAACTTGAATATAAGACCTAAGGAACATTCAAAAATACCATTCATATCCTTGTACAAGAAGATATATTTTCCAGCAGTTTGGGCCAGAATAATAGAAGCACTTCATATTGTTAAATGAAGCAAAAATTGTCATGATATATTATAGAAGTTCCTTGTAGTTACTGAATATTTCTCTAACGGGTAGAATAATCTTTTGCTAAAGAGAATTCATAATCAACAGCTGAAACTGATCATAAATGGGTAAGTACAGCCTTTGTTTGGGCTCCATCATCCGAAAAATACATTTTTCTATTTCTTATATTCAACCACACATTCTTCAATACAATAATATTACACGTAAACCCAAAAATTTTCCTTCTATTTTAACCACACATTCTCCAAAAAATAACTATTTCATAATACATTTTCTTCCAAAATCACATTAAAATGGAGCCCAAACAGGGGCATACAGTATAACAATGCCAACTCTTATACATAAGCATTGTATTTATTTCAATTTTTAACATAATTTAGTTGGCATTAATGTGACAGAAACAGGCAATGCGTACAGCTGATAGCACTTGAACCAATGACAATCACTCATGGAAAGGATAACTCTTATACGTCATAGGGGCCAACAATGCTTAGCATAGCATAGTATTTCAAAAAGTCCCATCCAATTATGTCAGCATCAGTCCTTAGGAGTCCACTAATTACCTTTCTGTTTTAGGCACGCATCAGATACAGGACGACCTCTCAAATCCAGTAGACAAAGCCCAGAATATACTTCATTGCACTACTTACTTTTTCCAATGGAACAAGCATGTGGATTCATGATTGTGACTTCGAAATAATCTCCCAAAACTCCAGGATTTTGTGATGGGAAGAAATATCAGTCCAAAATTAACTTGCATCTCACGTAATTTTATTAAATATGACTTCGAAGTAAATTTAGAGAGAATCCTAGGTCTCTAGTAAAATAAACCAAATTAACGCATTCAACTTTATCATCCTCAATCAGTTAACAGAGGCCAAAAGTTTCTGGGGTAAGTATCATCCAACCTTCTATAAACATGCTAAATACTATTGAACTGCCATACTTCTGTTCTTATTGGCAGTTGAATCATAGGTTTTGACCATAATAACTAGGGGATTTCACAAATCCACCAATTAAAAACCAAAGAATAGGAAATGTCCAAAAAGCTGACTGGCCTGAAGAATCGTGTGGCATGCCATGGTGTTAATTTGCACATCGTTCAATTGATTCATCAGAAACTTGAAACTATAGCTGCTCTTTGACCTGTACTCTCCACTAATTTTCTGACTCCAAACAATTATCAAAGCTAGGATATAGCATCATTCATAGCTTGAACATCAGCCCCTCATCCTACCCTCAAACCCCAAAAAGATTCATATAATTCCAACAAATTGATAAACACAACATTAAGACCAAAATAATCAATATCTGGAGCTATTGTTGTTTGGGGGAGGGGGGGGGGGGGGGGGGAATGAGAGAAGTGCCCACCCCAAAGGTAACCAATCCAGGACCTCTTGCATTCGGTCTTAATCCTTCTACACTGTCGTTTTCAGTGGGATCAGACCTACCAGAAAAATTCACGAGTAAGAATAGAACAGAGGAAAATTAGAAGAATGATATTGAAAACATATAGTGATGGCATTCACCAACCATAACAAGTCCATAAGGACAATCGATCCTGCTTCCATTGTAATTGGGCGCTGAATACTCTCAATCTGTTCTACATGGTTTATTGAT